GACGCTCCGAATCTGTAATCAAAAGGATGTTGAGTTGATTGGATCATTTTTTATTCCGAACGTATGCCTTGGTGTTTATATTTGCTCTTGACAATTTTTTACTTTGCTTTTTTGAGAGGTGACGTTGATATACGTCCAAAAGAAGACTGTATTTTCGTGTGAATTTTAAAAATAAAAATTTTTGAACTTGTAGTTATATTCATCCTAGATAATTGCTAGTTCATGGATTTCATGGATTTCTTATCCCAATACACTTCGTTACTGTTTGACGGTTCTATGGCACTTTATCATCTATCCGCTAATTTGTTTTGGTAAAGTGGGTGATGGGATATTACATATTGCCAAATTTAGCATTATTTAAGTTGCAGTGGGTTCGAAGTCATAAGGATAGTGAATTTGGTTTGCTTTTGCTTTGTTATACTGAGGATGAATCAGAACAAGGATGTACAGTAATAAATGTTGGATTCACTACAGATTTCCAGATGGCCATGCCTCTTGCAATGTTACTCCCTCGCTCTTGATGAATTAAGTGGACCGTAAAGAAGTGTTAGTTCCTCTATGCTCACTCAGATCACTGGAGTGGCGGTTTTTGTTTTCCTTTACATAAGTTCATTCCGTGTAGTACGATTAGTCCACATGGTGGATAAGTGAAGCATGTAGAACTGGAAACTTTTAGATAGTAACTATGCTACTGCATAGCGGTTTCAATGCTATTGAACGGGCTATTCAGCGGCCGTGCGCACTTTTTTTGCGGCGTTATTTTATTCCAATCCCAACAGTCATCAGAAGAAATATGGAGTCAATAAGCAACAAAGAAATAATGCAGCAAAACGAGTCGATTTTGGAGAAAATTGTGATAAAACAATCTCAAACTACAGCACAAAAAGGTATTTCTGTATAAATTCTGATTGGACATGTCATTTTACCAGTGTCACTAAAATCGGATTCTGCAATGTACACCGTTAATAAAACTATTCTGCCTGATAGATAATTATTGGATGGCTTGATGTCCCCTATTCGTACCCATAATATTAGTTAGAAATCCCGATGAATACGTCTCGCCTTGAACATTATCTATATGTTGAAATCCTTACATTTCTTTCGGATTTCAGTAAAAGAAAAGGCAACTAATGCGTATCTGTACATGGCATATGTAGTGTCAGTGATTGTGATGGGAGGTATGGCATATTTACTCTATGAGGAAATGCTCGCACCCGGAGCACCACAAACAGTGTTTTCGAAGGCATTATCGTTAATCAAAAAAGATCCGGATTGTCTTAGATTATTAGGTGATTCAATAATGGGATATGTGGAAGGACGTGGACAAATAAAACAAGTTGCACATCACATTTACAAAAAAGTAAGACCTTCTTACAGCTTTAAAATTTGAATTGTGAAGCTGTCTTTAGTTCTATTCATTTATACCTGATATCTTGGTGCGTACTTCCACATATTAAGATCAAATTATTATAGGATGGAAATGATAGGACACGCGTGATGTTTAACGTGAAAGGTTCTCGACGTGAAGGTATCGCGACATGCGAAATGGAAAAGAGTAATGGGACTTGGGAGTGGCGCTTCCTCATCGTTTCATCTGTCGATCTTGTTCCAGAAAGTGTTGTTCTGATAGATAATCGTTGAAAATCACCTCTTCGCCTTAATCACGTCAGACAACATTTTTTGATCAGCCACTGCTTTACTGTATCGTACGAGGGACTCAACTACACCCACCATGCAGTACTAAAATCCGCGGTAATTATAGTGCAAGAAGGTAATAGCTAGGTTGAGTTACGCACAAAAAACTCGACATGCCATTTTCGTCCAGGTCGAAGAACCAGGTAATCCAGTAATTCGAACGAAAACCTCACTAATATAAAACAGTTTGGCTGGAGATATGTGGTCTCTTTTCTGCACGCCAGGCATTGGGTCCATTATTCAGACACTGAAGTGCTACATTGAATGGCTAGTTTTGAATGGAGCGTTATATTTCCGTTCTTCCTGGGAAAATCGTTTTAATTGTAGGAATATAATGTAGAAAAGGATCCTTTATCCTTATAAAACTTGGTGTTCATCTCATGACAGAAGTACCCAACACTCTGAATCCCATAAAACGAAACAAGCAAAACACTACTTCCTAGAATTTCTGGAATGAATGAGGAAAATTCATATTCATAGTAACTGCGGTGATAAAAAACTAAACTATCAGATGACTATAAAATAAATTCCAGTTTATTATTTTCAATTTCATGTAGTTAATGGAAAGATGGGAATTGTAGTCGAAAATTCATGGATACTGTCTTGCAAAATTAAATTCCAATTTCCAGGTTAAGTATACCAAAAGACTCTAAATCTACATTTGGCGGCAAACCGCTAATATATGCATTAAAATTAATGGTAGCAATGCTATATCTTCTAAAATATTGCATGAAAGCTAGTAATTATTTACTAGTTGTCCTGAAATAATATTGTAATAAGTACAGAAGACCATATAACACAGGAAATCAGAAACTGTCCATATTAACTTATACCATGTCATTTGGAACTTGCTCTATAGAAATGACAAAAAAACGCGCAAGAGTTTCAAGAAATATACAAGAACGAAACAAGAAATAAAAACCTTATCAGTAACCTACTGATGGTGAAACTATTATTATTAGTATACTGTGCTTAGTATGTAGCGGAAGCACCAATCAATGTTAATCCATGCAAGGTTGATTATTCTTTCCAATAACTGGTAAGTACTTCCGTAAGAATCGCATTACACTAAACACGTATTAGTCGCGCAACCCCAGCCGAGTATTGATGCTCTCCAAATATGCACGGTGTAAACGTGTTACAAAGCCATCGTCCTGAAAAAATCGGCCTAGCAACTTTTAAATATAACATACCACGAACTATTCGACACTTCTGCATATATATATTTTCCTTACAGTAAAAATTGGTACCTACCGAGATATTCATACCGTCTCTGAATGATGAGGCAGTGCTGAACGGTTAGTCTTCTGGCTTCATATTACAACTTTGACTTTATGCGATTGACTTTTCAAAAAAACAGATTACCTTGCGCAATCCATCAATATATTACTTTAAACAAGAACTGAGCAGATTGAAGTAACCAAACAAACCTTTAATAAATGTTTTAGTGCCACCAATAACTGATCCTTTGTAAGAGAAACAACCTGTGAACTACCATCCTCAGGCGCTCCATCGTACTTGTTCTTACCCTTCGATCGATGCTAAAAATACGATTTCCATAAAGTGATACTGAATTAATAAGAACTATGTCCTCAAAGTCGATTCGTACCTTCTCCACATCTTTCAGATTGGAAGATGTCTTCGCAGCACAGAGAGACAGATTACTGACTAGATCCGATAATGTATCATTTTCTTCGATCTCCCCAATGGCAGGCGCGCACTTCCTAAAAAATGCTCTAGTTCCAGAAAACAATGAATGTAAGTTCGCAAGAAATACGAAACCGATGCTTTCTTTAACAACATGTTTTTCAAAGTGTATAGCCCACCGTCGTGAATACCGTTTAAAAAAAATTTCCTAAACGACCGTATCATATGGGAACTTAGAATCCGCTTTGAAATGTGACTAATCACTTCAAATAACACCTTACATCACCAACATCCGGCATTATGGCAATACCTCGCAAAATATATTTTGAAAATCAAACTAAAAAATTACCCCATCATTTTCTCACGTCTGTTTCCTGTCGACACCACGGCACTTTCGCCCTGAGCACCTCGGAGAAGAAGCTGTCTTTCAATCTGATCTGCGCTCAAAGCACCTCTAGTCGGCACATCCGGTAATTTAGTAGTTGACTGCTTCGAAAGTAACTGCTGTAGCAAAGCCGGCATCTCATCCAGTTTTTTACAGCGACTGTCTTTAATAAAACGAGTAAGAAAGCAGGAAAAAAATGAGTAAATCCCCACTTAGACCTGATTGAGAAAAAAAATCGACTCATTACCAAGGACTGAATCCTACTATCCAACACCACTGAAATTAGATTAACGGTGAAGAGGAAGGTATTCAAAAAAACTAAGTTTTACTGAAAATAACTGATGCCACATAAAACACGGGGAAAACTTTTATAATTTTAATGCCATAAAATCAATACCATCATAAATCCATTACTTTAAATTAGTTTCACCAAATACAATTTAACCAGCTTTACTGTCGGGAAAACTCCGAAAGCCATAACGCGAAATAGTAGCAATAAAAAGAAGGAGGCCCTGAGCGCCAAATCATTTTTCGCAAGAAATGTTGCAACAGGTCGGTTGGGTCGACGATATCGGGGGTTATTGGTTTTTGGTCCCCCTTTTCCTCATAGTGATATTATAATCTTGAAATCGTTTCTGTGTTATTGAGTTTTGAGGAATAAAGACATAATTACCCAAGTTTGAAACCAAGAAATTCGGCAACATTTACCTCGTCCTGCAGCACTACCTGCGTGCGCACCATATCCATTTTGCGAATTAGTTGACATTGCTCTTTTTGAATCGTTCATTATGGTAGATGTCGATGAATTTGATTCAGATACAAGCTTGACAAGCAATTTGTACAAACGTATACAATCCTCTTCTTCAAAGAACCAGAAACCCCTTATGTCACCTTCTACAAACAAACAAACATTAAGCCAGAAAAACAGAGATTTAAAATAGGATCAACAAAAAACACGACGCTGCCGAGCTGAAAACTGACAGTCCGTGATGTTCATTGCATTTAATAGTGGACAGCAGATCACATTCAATGGCGGGTAGATATTTAATGCAAACATACCTTGAGTATTCATAAACAAATATGGAGCTTCAAGAAAGAATCGTAATGGAGGTGTGATCGGTTCGATATGATCCTCCAGAGATTGACGATTTGCAATCATTAATGAATGAAAAGGCTTATCAGCTCGTTTGTACAAAAATAATGGACCTTCGATCGCGGACTTCACCCACTGCGTTTTACATTTATCGAATTGGTAGAGCGCCGCATGCACTGACTATAAAATCAATTACTTTGAATTCCTCCCTTTACTAGAACAAATAAGGAAGCAGCGCTGGCAGTGCACATTTGGCTTTTTTGGGGTGTTTACATGTCTACCCTCTTCACAAACCCAAATTATGAATGTGGGGTTTTTGGCAACCTATTTTTAGAAGAGCTGTTTTGTAATTCCCTCAATCCAGCACAATTCCATTTATATCAGAGTGCAAAAACGGGATTCCGAGAGAAGCCATTCATAGGAGATTTCTGAATCGGTTGCAAAACTATGATGATCAAAACACAAATAAATAGGGGAGAGGAATAAAGTCCTAATTAATAACCTTGTCAATGATTGCTACCGCACATGGATCCAGCCGTTGTATAGATTTAAGATTCATTTCATCGATTGAAACTGGTCTCTTTTTAACAAGCATGGCGTCGCCCATATTTTCCTGAACCAGCATAAAGCGATCAATACCCGTTATGAGGTAGTTCGAACTACCAATCTTTAACTTAGCACGTATTGAACACTTCCTAGTGCAGAATCCGTATGTTACCGAGTCTTCTCCTTGGTCCCTGGAATCCCAATACAATTTTCCGATTTTTAGACAACAAATAATGTTCACGAACTGATTCACGAACCGACTGCACTTCTCTGCTAGTCTTATTCATGAACCAGCTACTCGCGACGGACAATGTTATATGAACATTCTGCACTACATAATTTTCTATATTTGATAAGTAATCACACAAGCACATGATCATCCCAAACAGTACGAAACGATGAATAAAACAGTATTTAAAACTCACCTAAAATACGGATGCAATGGACTGACTCTCTATACACTACGAAATCCTAGAAAGTATGATATGACTTTGGCAAGCAAATATGAAACCTAAAATGAAAAAAGAACATAATCGGCACTGAAATGCGTAAGTAAAAATCATCCCACAGAAATATGAGCACTACAGCTTGTTTATTGATCCGTCTAGCATCATATAATAGCGCTCTAACCTGCTGGGTACGAACAAGCTACTGAAACGGTCATAAGGTTAGCCATTACAACAATCCCTCTAATTTACTGATTAGTTAGAATAGCAATAAACTCAATAAAAATTGTGAGATATGGCATTTTTAGAAAAACAGACGACAGCGTGAATATCCGGGAAGACATCACAGAGATTTTTCTCGGTAATCGTTACGAAAACCCTATACATTTTATTCATTTTTGTGAATTTTCTTGCACCTCAAGCAGAATTTAAAGTTTCTAGCAATATTCTCAATGGAATAAATTTTTAGGAATGCAAAAACTACGACCCATCAGTACTTTACACACCTAGGGAATGACCTATGAACAAAGTCGGAGACTATCTATAAATTTAGGGCATTTCAATCCATACGTTTGAAGACCTTTCCTTACTTTTTTTTTCTCTCTAGAATGACCTACGAACAAAGATTGTGGCCATCTATAGATTTTTCCAACCCATGCATTTTCATTTTCCTTCCCTTCCCTTCTCTTCTTCAAACACCCCGCCTAGCCTTAATTGTTTGCAAAGATATAATATCTAGGATTTGACCCTATACATAACAAACCACTTCCTCCCGGTGCAATAATCCGATTGCAGTATTAGCCCCACAACAATATCCACCAACCACCCACTGGTAACTCATGTAACCGAATGATACAAATCAGGTTATAGTTGGATTAAATATAACTGCTATGATATCATGATCAGACCTAGCATGAAATCAGCTAGTCCCAACGATATGGTCTAAGTAAAGTAGATGATATAACGGCTAGATTTTGACTGTATTTATCAGTTAGGACTTAAAGTCTGTCTGCTGTTTGATTATTAAGTACTTAGGTTTGACTTCTTGACATTTTAGTCAATACCATGCCCGTCTGCTCAACTTGATCAGAACTTTCAGTGAAACTAATTTTGACAGCTGATCGTGGTATGAAAATTGGCAATGATCGTTAACATACACATTCGTAACGTAGCATATGTACCAGCCACTTCTAAATTTACCCAGCGGTCGTTCGAAACGTACTATACCTACTTTGATACAATAACACGCGGTACGAATGGTCACAGGATATTGTGCGGTTGGCCGTTCCCGTTCGATTTGTGAAATTGGGTGTGCGCGGGGGGAATTGAGCTGTTTGAATACCATGTAGGTGACATATTCTTTATCCTGCAATTTTACCATATCTTGCCACTTTCACGTTAAGAATTGTAAATTATCCCACTTTTCAATAAATTCCTAGTTATACCGGGTGGATTATTACATTTACCTTAGGGGCCTTGTAAATCGAATGTATGTAATTTCTTTGCTGGTGGGAAAACAGATTGAGGATACAAATTGTTCCATACCCCGCATAAAGTACTTTCAAAATAGGTAAGTTAGACGGGTCAGATGTCATTTTTTCATATCCGTCACGTAAAACAACGCTGTGCCTGCTGGTGTAACTTTCTCGACGTCCATTGTGCATTATTGAATTACCGAATGTTAGTGTAACAAGTTGGGACGGAAGGAATTCTGTTGCTGGAAGTTTATAGGAAAATCAAAACGGTGGAAGTGTCGGATCCGAGAAGCGCTAAGGTGTTTCCTTCTAACATCCATAAAGCGAATACAACAGATAACAACGCTGTTGGTAATGTAGCAACGGAAAGCACAACTAAGACGCATTTAAGGAAATCGAATTCAGTCGTTGTTAACGGAAAACGTGTGAAAAATAGCTTGTAAGTTTATTCAAATTGTAAATATTTGGACAGTAATGATGGAAAATTGAAGAAATGGCGTGAATTTTGTTCCGTTAATTTGTATTCGTTATCCGTTTGATATTCGTTATGCTACTCTTTCCTTCTTATTTGCCAAGTATTAACGTTAGTCGGTGTTTCATTTTCTGAGCACTTTTGTGTGGTTTTTTTCTTTTTTTTATTGATTGGGTGACAGGACCTATATCCATCTTTTTGTTGTACAATGGCACCTATTCTCATCTTTTTGGCTGGCTGCGTGAGTTCATCCCTATTTTATTGATCAACCATTGTAGGGCATCAGTTTTAATATTATTTGTGAAGTGATTTAGACTTTTCCACACATATAATGAGTTTGTTGTAGTATACTGCTTATATTTCCTGTACGTGCATTCTGTTTTGATACATTGATGTTGTGAGTAGCAATACGAATTAGACACTTTTCTTGTCCCTATAAGCATATCAATGCTTTGTAATTGCCTATTCAGAATATTCATGGAATCGCTTATTCCTGTTATTAACAAATTGCAAGAAGTTTTCTCCGCAATTGGCACTCGTGAAGCAGAAATACAACTGCCACAAATTGTCGTCGTTGGCTCACAGGTTCGGTATTTCAAACCACCAATTACCTTTAGAATTTCGGAATTTTCAATTTCGTTGTTATACTTGGTTTAGTAATTGCACTGCTTGCTTTTTGCAGAGTGCAGGTAAGAGTTCTGTCTTGGAAGGTATCGTCGGCCGGGATTTTCTACCTCGTGGGGCTGGTATTGTTACCAGACGACCGCTGGTTTTGCAGCTAGTCAATATACTTACCGATGATAAAGAAGTCAGAATTACTGGTGAAGGTACACGTTTGACTTTTTCCAGTGTGCTTTAATTTATTCTAGCGTTGATTATTGTAATCTACGTTGCATTTATCGCTTTATTTCTTTAAAAGAACTTCATCAGGTACGACGATAAATGCAACTGATTGGGCTGTGTTTGGTCACTTAAAGGAAAGGATTTTCACAGATTTCGATGAGGTGAGGCGGGAAATCGAACTTGAAACGGAGAGAATCACGGGAAAAAACAAGGTAGAGGAAATTTTGTTTCGCTCTGAACACTGGAAATGGTCATTCATTGTTTAATACCTCACGTATATACAAGTTTATGGATTTTTTTTGCAGGGAATATCTGGAATGCCAATCAATCTTAAAATTTGTTCACCCAATGTAGTGAATTTAACGCTTATAGATTTGCCCGGCATGACGAAAGTGCCAGTGGGTGATCAGCCTACGGATATTGAAGTGAGGATAAATCATATAATTTCTTTTTCTTTTGTAGCTAAAGCAACTAATGGTCACAGTAGCATCAATACTCTTTCCATTAAAACATTTTATGGTTTGAAGCCTCAAATCCCATTTTGCTATTCGTGTTTTCATCTGATAATATTTTTCGTAATCACAAAGCCAGATAGTACTCAGCCACAATATTACCTTTGAACAAATGGAAGTCGTTCAAGTTAGCAGTTAATTTGTTCAGGATAACGATATGTTTTCAGGTTCAAGTTCGGGAGTTAATTATGAATTATATAGGAAATCCAAATTCCATTATTCTTGCTGTGACACCTGCAAACCAAGACTTCGCCACTTCAGAACCATTGAAATTAGCAAGAGAGGTCGATCCGGAAGGTGGTACTTTGTTTTGTTTATTTCCGCATCACTTTTATATAAAATCATCTTTGCACTTCTAAGAAATCTGGCGGAAATCTTTCTGTTTTCAATCACTGAGTTGAATTGTAGGTTGTCGAACGCTAGCTGTGCTCACTAAACTTGATCTGATGGATCATGGCACTGACGCCATGGAAGTTCTTCTCGGACGCGTTGTTCCAGTGAAGCTTGGCATTATAGGAGTTGTGAATAGGTTACTGATTTTCTGTTCTTTATAATTCTGTTATTATACTTTCTGCTTATAATATGAGAAAAGCGATTGATATGCTTCAGGTCCCAAGCGGATATCATGAACAAAAAACCGATCGATGATTGTTTACGCGATGAGCAGTCATTTTTGCAACGAAAGTATCCAACATTGGCAAGCAGAAATGGAATTCCTTATTTATCGAAAACACTCAATAGAGTAATATGTTAAATCTTCGTGTGTAATCTACTAGTTTGCAGTAATTGTTGGTGTTAAAAAAACTAATTCTTACTGTAGCAAGTATTGTAGGTAATAGTTATAAGAATCATTTCAATCAAAAAGATTACGGTGTAATCTCGTTTCAATTAGAATCTCGTGCTTGTTTAAATTTCATGACGGGAGGAGTAGCTTTCCTCAATCACGTGTGTTAAACAGGAGGTGGTATACGATTTTCGCTGTGATTTTTTTGATTGGACTCGTCTATTTTTTCAATTATAAAGTGCTCTCACAACTTCTACCTGCTTTGGATGGTAGAAATATCGCTGATTCTATACAGAATAAGGAACGCTTATTTTACGTGTTATACATTTTCCAGTATATTTAAGGATATATTCATAGTATAATGACTATCAGTGTGTTGTACATTTTTTTTTTTTCCAGTTACTGATGCACCATATACGAGAATGTCTTCCACAGTTGAAAATGCGAGTAAATGTTCTGATAGCGCAGTGCCAAACATTGCTCAACTCATACGGAGAGCCTGTGCAAGATTATGGAAGTACATTGCTACAAATTATAACCCGTTTTGCAACTGCGTACACCACGACCATTGAAGGTACATCGAGGAATATCGAAACGTCGGAGCTGTTAGTTTTTTTTTGCCTTTTTTTGTGTGTTTAGTTAGACATGTAACTGTTTGAATTTTCTAGTTTTTTTTTTTTTTTTTAATATTGCAGTTGTGGCGGAGCGCGTATATGTTATATCTTCCATGAAACATTTGGTCGAGTTCTAGAATCAATTGATCCATTGGGTGATTTAACGCAACTCGATATATTGACAGCAATACGTAATGCAACGGTGAAGTCGTAGTTTTTGAAGGCAAATAGAAATTAACTTAGTTTTCTTCCTTAAATTTAAATAATCTCTTGCTAAAACTAATTTCCAGGGCCCTCGACCAGCTCTATTCGTACCGGAAGTGAGCTTTGAATTATTGGTAAAAAAGCAAATTCGCCGATTGGAAGAGCCCAGTTTGCGTTGTGTGGAGCTTGTGCACGAAGAATTGCAACGAATTGTGCAGCACTGTGGCATTCATACGCAGGTTTGTGTCTTGGTATTTTTTTGTCTGTTTTAGACTTTAATCGGAAACAAAGTTGGAAGGAAAAGACTGAATTTTAAAGTTATATTCGAAAATTTTTTATTTCTTAGTAATGCCTAACTCCGCCATATTATGACTGAAAGCGACAGCACTTTAGCAGTGTCTGGGTAAATTCCAAAATGCGCTAATTAATAGTCTGGCTAAGGCTAGACTATTAAATCTGGATAACTTGACCAGGGAATGATTGAATTGAAGCGTTTAGGGTTATAGTTACTATAACTCTCTTGCAGGAATTCTATAGTCATATTTGGCTTATAGTTATATCGTTAGCATGAAATGTGGTACAAAGAATGATCGGGTATCACCTTGGTTGATCGTTATAAATTACTTATGAAGAATTTATTTACCACGATTGCCGTAACTCGTTTTTTCAGCAGGAAATGCAACGATTTCCCCGTTTGTACGATAAAATAAATGAAGTGGTAAGCAATGTCCTGAAAAGTCGTTTAAAGCCAACGAATGAGATTGTCGAAAATTTGGTAGCAATTGAACTTGCATATATTAATACCAAGCATCCAGAATTCGCCGATGCATCACTTGGCAGTTTGTTAAAGGTTTAGATTTTTCAGCTTCCAGTTATTTGCAAGAAAGTAGGTCAGGAAAGCATGCTGTTTTCGCTAAACCTCTATAATTTTAATATTTTGTGAGTTAACTGTGCTTAAAAAATTTTTGTCAATGCATGCAAAAAAAACCACTTCAGTTGTTGTTAGTTACTGTGTTTGGAAGTTACATCATACTAATAAGATCGACGTGCAAGCGAAATTCTTTTTACTGACGTTTTTTAGCCCATTTTTCTGAAAAATCCATTAATAGAGTTGAAAATTTAGCCGTGTGTCGAACCATATCTCTTATCAACCTTATTAACAAAAATTTGTTTAAGTGAGATAATTCAGGAGCACGTTTCTATTGACGATGAATCGAAACGGTCTATGAAACGCGGTCAGCAAACTGAAACAACACTGCACAAAGTGCACGAGAATCCTGCGGTAAATATTTTAATTTTGCATAAAATTATAGACCTTTCACGATAATCTTTTGCCAACTCTTTTTATTTTTACTGTTTTAGGCTACCGGCATGTCGTCTTCAGCTGGTGATTCAGTTGGCACGCAGGCAAGAATTGCTTGAGCTGTACATTAACCTTTTCTTTCAGGCAAAGGAGAGTCGTTAGAGCATGTGATATTCTTGTCTTCTCGTCTCCCTAAATGATTTTCTGGCACCTTCCATCTAAATTAGCCTCGTATAATGAAACAAGAAACTTTCAAGTTGTGCTAAAAAAATTGAAAAGAAAAGCGTCCTTGGAAATTCTGAATCTTAGGACTGCTAGAAATTTAAGATAGTATTTACTCCTTTGCTATCTGATTTTGCAAAAATTTTATGAACAGTTATTTTATGCACTGGTTCACCAAACAGAGTTATATATAATCTTTGTAGAATTCAACCGAAATTTCAAGCTTCACCGGATGGTTCTTTGGTGGAAATGCAAAAGACAAGGAGTCAATATTGCCGCGTTAGTTTCTGAAAGTTTTCGGGACTATCGGCTCCACCCATTATTTTGAAGTGCAGAACTTTCTGTGATGCATAATTTCTAATGACTTTAGATGCTCTTTCAAAACGCATACGGTCTTATATGGCTTCTTTTTTAAGTGTACCCGTTTTGCTGAGTGCCTTAACTGTCACCTTAGATATAAAATTTAGCATAAATAGAAATTACTAAATAAATCATGTCAAGTACCTCAGATTGTAATATCTTTCGCAAGCGGCTAACACTGCTGCTGGATCCGTGTAACACTGTTGCTACTGTACAACAACAGTGTTGTTGTTTCAGCTGTATCAGCTCGAAAACCTGTGAGTTTTTTGCCGGAAGTGCCGGAGAAGACAATCACACGAAAGTTGACCGCTCGTGAGCAGAAAGATTGCCAAATAATAGGTAAGTTGCTTGCTTCATTTGTCTTACCATTTGATCACAAAACTCATCAGTTTAATCGACCATTATGTGGAGCAGTTCATCATCATGAGCTCCGTTTCGACATATGGCACTGCGCGGACTCGCCAGATATGCAGCCATACCGTCATGAGATATGATGCATTGAATTAGTGGGTAATTCTGATTTGTTTGGACAGGTTATTCATAGTTATGACACTTGGTGCAGTCAGTCTTGCCAATTTCTGAATACATATGATTATTCTTCATATGTCTCCACTTGCTTCTGGAATATTTTCGGCTTTTGTTACTTACTTTCTTCATCTTCCGATAAATAGACCTATAAAATTTTAACAGAGTGCGAGGATTTTAATTGCAGAACGACTCATTCGGTGTTATTTCATGATTGTCAGGAAGAATGTCCAAGACACAGTACCCAAAGCCATTATGCATTTCCTAGTGAATTATGTTCGCGTATGTTAAATTCCTTTTTGTATTCATACAATACATTTAACAGTGTTCGTAGATTTATCGGTCTTCTGCAGAAATCCCTTTCAATATATAAACAAATGTAGTATTTCCACCAATGGAAGGTGAATAGGAATTTTCCTCAGCACTTTGCATAGAGATGAGATCAGTTTCGCTTTTCAGGACAATTTACAAAGTGAGCTCGTACAACAGTTGTATAAACGCGAAGTGATTGAGGAACTGCTCACTGAAAGTCCAGTTATGGCTCAAAGGAGAAAGGAAGCGGCTGAAATGCTTAACGTATTTTATCTTACTATTTATTTCCCCGAAATTTCTTGGTACTTCCACAACCCAGCTTTTCTGGATATTATGACAGTTAATTTAAGCGTTTTATAGGCGCTCAATAAAGCAAGCAGCATAATTAGTGAAGTTCGTGAAACCCAAATTTGGTGAATACATTCGTTATTTTGATGGCGTCATCGTCCAACTGGTGCTGGATCATAGTGCAGAAGTACGACATGTGGGACTAATATAAATATAATCATTTGTATTTGATAAAAGATTTAGATTTTATATTTAATACTTTCTATTCCTCCAACCTTCACAAACCGCGCATAATTGCTCGGAAGTTTTAGAAGGGTGGATTTGACTGTATATCCCATAATTCCATGTGACCACGGATTGATCATCGTTTCATCCTATCATTACGGGTTGGTCCTTGCTTTATTCACGCTGTCAGTTAACCAGTGATAGCATATGTGGTTGATCTCCGGAAGCAGTACAAACACCGAGCTCTTTGTTGAATTTGTGCGATGTATAATTTCGAAATCGATCGCTGAGTTAGCCAGTCATTCCAGTGCTGTTCCAACAAGTGGTAAGAAGGGAAAGCATTAATCTGCAAGTTATTGGAAATGCCAAAACTGACGCGGAGATGAAGTGCTGGTATAAACTGGAAAGTTCTCAGAGTAAATCACTCTGGCAATTTAGTCATTAGAACTTTACGTGTCATCAAGACCATCAAGGATTTAACGGATTTTTTTCCCTGGTTTTCACGTCGCACAAGTGAAATGTACAAGAACTTTACAAAGTGAAGCAAAATATACTAATCAGTACTTCTATTCTCTTTTGGTCTTGCTCAATATGGAGGATGTAACCATCGTTCCGAGACTGTAAACAATAAACATCACCGAGAAAACGGCAATGCGCAAAGCAGTAAAGCCTGAAATGAAAGGATCCAACACTAGCTAAATTGAGGCGCAACAAAAATTACCAATATTGGGTTCTCGTACTCTACAAACATATTTCGCCATTGTTTTTACATTTGTATTATTCCGGCTGTTTAAAAACAGTCATTAGCTTAATAGAATGCGGTTTCTACATTTGAAAAATTCACAACCTACAGCAAAGTCACAGCTGGGTCGGCATGGCGTTAACCTCACCTCCGGCATTGCATGGCTTTTCTCATCACACACGTATGATTTTGCATAACCTGAAAACTTTCGCGCTACATTTATAGGTTTGGAAGATGACACCAAATTCAATTTCAAAACAAAAGGAATCTGGATGAATCAACTCATAAGTAGACGTTGGCGATACACTTACCATTTTCTCCTTGTGACACATTCCGGAATTGTGATGTGGATAATTTCATTTCAGCTTTATCTTTTATTC